ATAAGTCATTATAATCCATAATTATGTCCCCACTGGATGCAATAAATGCCTCGTTTATAATGGGTTTTTTAATGTTTTTGTCTCGTCGCGCCGGCCGGACAGGGCATCACAACATGGTAAGGGGTGTAACATTTCCGTCACACGCTTAAGGTATTCAGCCAATCACAACGCACTGGATAGCTGGCCAATCAGAGCACACCTCGCTTTTCAGACCGATGAGCTTTGTAAAAATCGACGCGTTTCAGAAAGGCGGGGCATAGAGGAGAAACAATAATGTACAGTATGTGGAAAATAATGTGTTTTTTGAACCTTAAACCACATAAACACATTGCATTACACCAAATACACAACATAATGTTCTTTTTAGCAACGTCATATGATCCCTTTAAGACTTTTGTAGTATAATATAGCGTTGTGATTCTTATCTACTTAGAGAACATTATAAATGCATGTTGACAAGACATACAAAAACAGAGTTTTCCGAAACCCAAACAGACTTTGTGGAAAGTTTCATCAGTTTTTTTAATTTTATTTCACAGGGTGCACAACAGTTCAAGTCACAAGTCATTTTAAAAACAACATTAGGATCAGATTTATACAAACTCTATAATGAGGACAAACAATGTAAAGCCACACTTGAACTAATTGGATTTTCTGTGCTTTGAAATCGATCTCACAAAGACAAGCTGTCTGTGATAAAAAAGTGAATACTAAATACTGAATTAATCTGATATCTATATGTACACAAAATGGTTACTAATTCACAAGTTTAAGGCACAATCTTTCTGAACATTCTGCATTAAATACTGTTGACATCTCATGATCAAAATCAACAGACGCTGGAGTGTGAAAGATCAGTGACCTCTATAGTCACATGTGGGACATATTAATATATAACAGTCACTCAACCTTATACCTGTGATGGACATTTTAGACAATGAAGACACAAACTGTTTTGTCCCGTACAGGACTCCATTCATGAGCATCATGATTCAGTGAGCAAACTTCTCGCAATGATCATCCTCATCACTTCATTTGTACCTAAACAAAAGAAAGACAATGTTACAGGGGTCATATGATGCGATTTCAAGTTTTCCTTTCTCTTTGGAGTGTTACAAGCTGTTCGTGAATAGATAAGATCCCTAAAGTTGCAAAGACTAAAGTCTCAAATCCAAAGAGATATTCTTTATAAAAGTTAAGACTGGTCCTCGCTCTCCTAAAATGCCTCGTTTAAACACGCCCCCACATGTCTACATCACGATGTGGGAAGATTTGCATAACACCACTCAAATGTTCACGCAAAGAAAGAAGGCGTAACTTTTATTCTCGCTGTAGTATTGTTATTGCCACCGCCGCCATGACTTGGAGACACTGTGTGTTTCATTGTGAAAGTGAAAATACTTTGTTTGGCCTTCCACTTATAACGGGTTTTAATGTTTTTGTCTCGTTGCGCCGGCCGGTACACGGCATCACAATATTGTAGGGGCGTAACATTTCCGTCACACGCTTGAGGTATTCGGCCAATCACAACGCACTGGATAGCTGGCCAATCAGAGCACACCACGCTTTTCAGAACGATGAGCTTTGTAAAAATCAACGCGTTTCAGAAAGGCGGAGCATAGAGGAGAAACAATAATGTACATTATGTGGAAAATAATGTGTTTTTTTAAACTTAAACCGCATAAACACATTTCATTACACCAAATACACAAAATAATGTTCTTTTTTAGCAACGTCATATGATCCCTTTAAATATTTTTTACGCCGTTAAACTGAAAAATAATCGCATGCGTTAACACACTAATTTTGACCGCACTAAAATATAATAATAAATATGAAATATTATTACTTTAAGACATATTATAACCATTACAGCTTTTTTTTACAAGACAAAAAATCATTACCCTCCAATATCTGATGTACTCTAATGTCTCTGACGTACTGCTGCACTGCATAGTCCTTTAGGTAACCATAACCTCCATGTATCTGTAAAGCCTGGTTACATATCTGAAAGAGATGATCACAAAAACCTTGATGTGTTTATGTAACAACATCAAAGAGGTCATCACAATCCAACGGAGCAACGTGTATATACACTTACTGAAAAACATTCATCTGTCACGAAGAGTTTGGCCATTGAGCAGAGCGAGACCGCGTCTGGTCGCCCCTCCTGCAGAGCCACCGCCGCCTGACGCACCAGCAGCCGAGAAGCTACCAGCTTAGTGGCCATCTCAGCCAGCTTAAACTGCAGGAACTGAACACAGACGTCAATAATGACTTCCTTTTTCTGATTTAAACATGGACATTCAACAGAAACCTATTAGAAAGATCGGTGATAGACAATTCAGCTGGTACCTGGCTGTTTGATAGTGTTTCTCCAAACTGTTTCCGCACACACATGTGATCTCGGGCCAGAAGCACAGATGCGTGTGCTGCTCCAAGAGAGCAAGAAGCTGTGGGGACAAAAGAACTAGCATTAACTCCTGTGCTAAAATTCCTTTACCTAATTTGGTGTTCCCAGCCTTGTAAAAATTGCTTGTAAATCTCTCATTATGCTATATTATGACCAAATATTAGATTCAATCTCTTTTTGTCAACTTGCTTTCTTTTAATTAACACATATTTGCATTTCTTTATTCGGAATTGTCTGTAGGCCTCATTAATCTGATCTTATCCACTTAAATTTTTCAGTGAAAAAAAGCATTATTTGTGGATAATTTTGGCAATGTTCACTCAGAAATTGAGGTGCATAAGCTTGGCTCAGATCAATAAGACCTTTGATCAATCAGTGCCGAAAAAAAAAAAAATACAAAACCTATGCTTACTGAAATAAAACGAGTTGATAAAAAGATTGAATCCAATATTTGGTAATATTATAGCATAACAACAATTTTTGTAGGCTGGTAATTTTTTTAATGGGAACACCACAAATCAAACAAAGAGGTAAAAAACCTAAAATTTTGGGGGTAGTTGTTCAACCCTGTGTGAGCAAGTCAGTAAGTCTTAATCCAGTCCTCTCTGGGTTAAAATGACCAGAACACAAATTTGTCAAAATAAATAGGTTATCAAAAAGGTTTCAAATCAAAGTTATGAAACAATTCACCAATATTAATTCTGCCTCCATTTAGGCCTTTCATGGCAATGTTGAAGCCCTCCCCCTCTGCTCCAAGCAGATTGGTCACTGGGACAGCGCAGTCCTCAAATATCACTGCTCGGGTTGGCTGCGAATTCCAACCTACCTGAAAGATGTTGGTACACTGGTTATAAATCACAGCAGTGAAAACATAACTCAATCCTGCCACCTGCTGGACAATCTTTACCGATCTTTTAAAAAAATGGCACTCCAAGGTGTTCCTGTCCTAAATAATACCCTTATACCGAAGATGTTCATTACCTTCTTCTCTTTTTTGCCAAAGCTGAGTCCCGGGGTCCCTTTTTCAACCACCAGGCAGGAGATGCCCTTAGGTCCCTTCCCACCTGTCCTGCACATGACCACATAAACATCTGTGTCTCCACCTCCACTGATGAACGCCTGACCAGAAACATCAAAAACGGTTGGGAAGCTGCATGGAGATTTTTGTCAAGGTCTCAATCATTTCTCAAGGTACCTTGGTGCCATTCAGGATATAATGATCTCCTTGGAGTTTCGCGCTGGTTAGAAGCGAAGCAGCATCACTCCCGCTACCTGAGGTTAGGGAATAAAAAAAATGATTAAAACTATGAAAACATGAAAAAAAAAAAAAACACATTGTAAGTGTAAAATTACATTAAAATTACAATATGTTGTCAAAATATTAAATGCTCTTTCTCTCTCTCTCTATATATATATATCTCAACACACGTTTAGTAATTATGTTTCTGTCATTTTTACTATTTTTTAAAATATTTTTGTTTATTTTTATTTTTATATTATTTAGAATTAAATACTTTTAGTTAATGAAAACAACACTGATGTATCCCAAAAAGGAAAACAGAAAAATGTGATCTTGAACTTACCAGGTTCTGTGAGACAGTATGAAGCAAACTTCTGCATAGAGCAGAGATCAGGACAGAATTTCTCCCTCTGCTCATTGTTTCCAAATGTGTCTATCATCCAGGCACACATGCTGTGTCCAGCACAACCATTAAACACCATGTAAAACCCAATGAATCATGAAGAATGGAAACAATATGCAAGCACATGTACCATGTTACATAAAAATTAAATCTACCTTATGTATTATTATTCCAATGCAGCAACAACTTTAAAGTATTATATAAGTAAGCTAGTTGGGCCAATTATGAAGCGTAGATGGCAGAGGAGACTCACTTGTGAATACTGATGTATGCGGTAGTGCTGACACAGCCTGTGGATAAAGCCTCAAATATGATAGAGGTGTCCAGACGAGAGAGTCCCGACCCCCCAACATCAGGGTTCACATAAATCCCACCAAACCCCAGCTGGGCGGCTTTCCTCATGGCCTCCACCGGGAACATTTCCTACCAGTGAAGATATTAATGGTGCTCAACTTTGGTAAAAGTTTCAGAATGAAATATAAACAATAAGCAATTTTGTCAGGTGTTCACATTACCTTTTGGTCCCATTCTGCCATATGTGGTGCCATCTCGTTGGCAGCAAAGTCAAATGCCACCTTCTGAAACTCTTTCTGTTCATCTGTGAGTCCTATAGAGGCTGTGGAAATATATGCAGAAATTTATATATGTGTGTGTATTTGTTATATATACTAATATATATTAAACATTACTTTATATTGATTATCTACTGTATTTATTAGCAGCAGAATCTGTAGTAATGAGATTCATGACCAAGGAGGATCAAAGGAAACGGCGTCTGATATCAGCCAATCAACTGCACTCGACAAACACCCCCAAATATGATTGGTTGAGCTCATTAAAGTCCAACCAGTAACGTTTGAAGAAGCACGAACCTGCTTAAATGTACGTTATTAAAATGTAAGATTGTATGATTCAATATAATAAACAACGTGTGTTTGGAAATTTTACAAGTTAATTCATTAAACTGTCAACTTTGAAACTCCAGGAACACTGACGTTTCACGAAGCGTTATATCGACTGCACAACGGAGTTTACTAAACAAAAACTGTAGATTAAAATGACATATTAATGTATAACTAAACTAAAATACAATTCAAATTAAAAACGGACTCCTTTTTACCAATGACACCAAACTTTCAATGTGTGACAGTCTGACTACATTTCCTCAGAAATTATATATTTAAAATCATAAATTTGCACCAAAAAGCATATTATCGAATATGTGATTACATTAATTAAAGTCTACATTAGATCTACACTAACTTTATTGAAACCATAGTATTTGAAACATAACAGTTACATTCACTCTAGTATTCCTAAGTGAATGACTGCTTGTCGTTATTTCTCAAACAACGTTATTGTTATCACCACGGTCTTTAAATAATTTGACTTACGATCAACGCAAGCTGCTATTCCTCGTCTCTGTACACTGTTAAATATTAAACTGCGACTTCTACCGATGCTATATGAACCCAATCGGACACCTCTTACGAGTGCCCTAGTCGCCGCCATGTTGATTTAGTGACGCGTTGAATCACCGCGGTGATTATGGGTAATGTAGTTCTACACAGTCTGGACTTGACAACAGGTACCCTCATATGAATCATGTATGCGCAGCATCAACGCAGCTTTAGCTATTTTTTTAATACCACATGAATATATTGAATTTAAGTTGCAAGCAGTTTTAATAGTTATAAACGATCTTATTTTTATATACCCCACATTCTGTGGTTGGGTTTTAAATAAAAGCAGACTAAATCCAGTTATGATCCTCCAGACCACATGCGATCTGCCTGGGCGCTGTTTTATCACGAGGGCTTGCAGAAACATCTCCTCGCATTTCCAGTGAAACATGCCACCCAAGAAAAGAACACGAAGCAAATCCACTAAACATGGTAAGTAATCTGTAATATAAGGGTTGCGTCGTTTTTCAGTTTTATGCGAAACAAGTCATCACTTTGAATAATTAATTGCTTCTTGTTTTAGCTGATGCAGACGCCCAGCACTGTGAGGGGTCTGATGATGTTGCACAACTCAAAACTGGCAAAAGAAACAGGTCGGCAGCAGTAACAAGTGATGTGGAGAAAAATAAAAATGATGACGCATGCAAATCATCTTACAGCCACTGGCTCATGAAGTCTGAACCTGAGAGTCGGATTGAAAATGGAGTGGACGTGAAGGTAAACCCTTTTGAGTGTGAGTATGTATGTACTGGTTTATATATCCTGGTGGGGACTTAAACCTGACTACACACAGACTCATGGGGACTCGTGTCACGGTGGGGACCTAAATTGTGGTCCCCACGGGTACAAAAGCTTATAAATCATACAGAATGAAGTTTTTTTAAAATCTAAAAATGCAGAAAGTTTCCTGTGAGGGGTAGGCTTAGGGGTAGGGTTGGTGTAGGGCAACAGAATATACGGTCTGTACAGTAGAAAAAACATTACGCCTATGGAGAGTCCCCATATATAAATAAAGGTGACTTGACTTAACAAAATGCCAGCTTTTTAACTCAACTTAGTATGTCATAATTTAAACTTTTTCATCTCATTATTACTTATATATATCATAATTATGAATTAGTGTCTCATATTCCTGACATTTTATGTCATAATTATAACTGTCAGTTTTATGTCAATTATGATTTAGTACCTCATAATTTTGACACTTAACTCATAATTATGATTTAGTATCTCATATTTTCGATTTTTTTTTATGTGATGGAAACTTACTTCCATATGAAGAAAAAGTTCAATAATGCAGGAGCTTTTTTATTAAAGGAGATTTTTAAATGTTGTTACTAGGTGAAGGTAAACCTAATTATCCGGATTAATATCTTAAATGTAAAATGATGCTATATGATATAATATGACAATATTTTGTCATCCTCCAACTGCAGTTTGGAATTGAGGACCTAAAAGCCCTTCCCAGACAGACTGGATGCTGGGATGGAGTGAGGAATTATCAGGTAGACTATAGCCCCTTTCACACAGTAATACCAACAAATTGCCGTAAAATTACAGTAAGTACCAACTTTACCGGTAAATACAAAAAAGCTCTGTTAACACAGGCAACGATGTTCTGTCTTTTTACCGGTAAAGCACCATTCACACATCAGTTTCAACATACTTTAGACATTTCTTTGACTTCCATAAACAGTGCAGAGTAAATGCGTCATCTGCGTCAGAATGGTATGATTGGGCCAGAATAGACATCTTACGTCAGCGCATTCTGAACTCGTACAAGCTCATACCGGTAATCTCACTTTGCGCTCACACAGAGCATATTATCGGTAATTTACTGGCAATGTTACAACTTCTCATACCACTGAATTTTCAGATCGGATTTACCGGTCCTGTTCACACATGATCTCTTACGGTAATTTACCAGTAAAGACTATGTGTGAAAGGGGCTTATGATGATTCGTTACGTTTATTAAGAAGCACATGCAGAACATTCACTTATACTGACACCTGAGACTTTTCTCCTCAGGCACGTAATTTCATGAGAGATATGAAGGTGGGCCAGCAGGCTTTCTTTTACCACAGTAACTGCAAAGAGCCAGGTATTGCAGGCCTCATGAAGGTGAGGAGTCTGTACAGAAGAAGCTTAACACCTTAACATTTTTACCACATGCATAACAATAGTGAGAATGATTTTCATTACTTTTACAGATCGTAAAGGAGGCTTATGTGGACCATACACAATTTGACAAGAAGGACGTGCATTATGATCCCTCCAGCAAAGCAGACAACCCTAAATGGAGTATGGTGTGTGTTTACACAGACCACAAAAAGATTCATAAAGATAACTTTCTATTTTTGCCATCAGAACTGACCGCGGATTCACTCTGTATAGGTGGATGTTCAGTTTGAAAGGATGACCAAGCGTTTCATCCCTCTGACTGAGCTGAAGAAATATCACTTGCAGCACAAAGCTAAAGGTAGACCCTTAAAAGATATGGCCGTCTTCACCAGGGCCAGACTATCAGTTCAGCCCCTTACTGCAGGTTAGTCGTATTCAATACACATGTAAATAAATATATTCTCATTTTCATGTACTGTAGTGTAGTGTAGCATTATTTAAAATGTGATTATAAATGTCAAATGTATTTATTCTTAAAGGGGTCCTATTATGCTCTTTTACAAAGTCTTGATTTAAAATATCCTTTTGAATTGGACTTTGAGCTTTGTAACTTTGCAGATCTTTTTTATGCTCAAACAGCAACATTACAGACTAACTAAAGCTGAAAAAGTGAAAAAGCATAATAGGACCCCTTTAAAAAATAACAATAATGTTAAATGTTATTTTTGTTTTAGCTGAAATAAAAATAATTTCTATTAGATATATTTTATAATTAATAAAAATTAAGTCCTAATATACAGCTGTATGGATTTTTTTTTTTTTTAATAATACTTAATTTTTTTCTTGTCTTCAGAGGAATTTGACTTTGTCCTGAGTTTGGAGAATGAAGATCCAATATGAAAATCACCATAAAAGCCTGTTTCAACTCATCCTATTATGATTCTCTCTCACTTTAAATGTTATATAGTCAGTCTTTTCTTTATGTAATCTATACTCATGTAAACTTAAAATACCAAAATAATGATATTAAAATATTTTAATGTTTTTGTTGATAAAATATTTGTTTGTGCTTCTGTCTCCATCATACCTCTTAATAATACCAAATTTCTCTATAGCCATGAGAAGTCAGTTATCACAGGTTATTTTCATTTTGAAGAAAAAAGGAAATCATCATGAATGCATTGGTTAGTACATTTTATTACAATAGGGCTGATTAAATGAGCCTTTTGCAGAAGTTTTCACGGTTGCATGGCTGTTAAATAGTCATACCTCATTGAACAGCTAAGAAGCTATTAAACAAATATGTAGTATATATTTAGTATAATACAATGACATACACATGTAAGAGTGGAAAATTCACCTTAAAAATGAGAAGCAAACAATCACAAAAAGGATTTTCTGTATTGCAGCATTTAACTGCACTCTTGAGAATCCTGGAACCTTGTGTTGCCGATGATTCTGCTGATTCTTATCAATAGGAAATAAACACTTAAGACACCAGATCAAAAGAAAAAAAAGTCAATAATAAAAATATGAAAAGTAAGTTAGTAGTTCCCTTATTAGGCATTTCTCTGGAGGCCTTCATTTGTAATACCCTAAATGATAGAATAATACTGTGCAGAGCTCTATGAAGAGTACATGAAGTGCTACATTTATAACACAAAACATCACAGTAAATCTCATTTTGGGCTCATTAAACAGGACAGAGTACAGAAGCTAGATTCTGACTTTTCAGTGTACTAGACTTAAGCAAAATTTGAGCATAACAAGAGGAATGTATTGAGGCTTACAACTTCATGAAGCACAAATCAAACCTATAGGATGAAAACAGCGGCATACACAAAAAGATTGTTTCTAGCATTTTCAAAACTGTTGGTCACTATTATATAATGGAAATGTACGCAGTATTGGAAAGAGAAATAAAAAAATATTTTGTAATCTATAGACATTTAAGTAGTTGGGCTGCCTTTTACAAGCTCGATTCTCATTTTTGATCTCAAGAAGCGATGATTTCCATTTTTCGGCAAAAATCACTTGCCACATTGATCCCTTCGAGACTTATAAAACATTATTTTGATGTAACAAGGTTCATTAGAGATGTTGAAGGAACATTAAGCGTCTTGCATCTAGTTACTCTCCTCTTTGGCTTGTGCTGATGCAGTTTCAGAGTTTGATCCCTCAAATCTCTGGGCAGCAATGCTGGCCTGTTGGGACATACTCCTCCTCACAATATCTCCTTTCCTCCAGAGTGTGATCTCCTGTTGAGAATGAACAGCAGTGTATTTTACTCAGACTTCAAGACGGAGGGAAGTAATATGTTACATTATACGTGGAATACCAGACCTGTTGTTTGAAGTATCGTCGCTCTTCTTCATCTATAAGGACTAGGTTCAGGTAGTAACGCACAGAGAACTTCTTGTTGATGTCCCTCATGGTGGGCGTCAACTCGTATCCAGCGAGAAACAAGCGAATGGGGATTGACTCGCCTGAAAAGAATACGGGAGCAAAACTATAACATTAGTGTATATGAAAATAATGCATTTCAGAAAATGTTTAAAAGCCACAAAAGATAAATATGTTCAGTGGAGACTAATGTAATATCATAATATAATGCAGATGAAAGGTTTAGCTTTACCTTTCACCGGGGCCCCATCCATGATCTCATATTTGGCAATGGTGTCATTTTCATGGTACACACTGGGTCCAGTTCCAGTCGTTTCCCGTTTTATTATATCAATTTCCATGTGTTTAATCTTTATCCTCACAAGAAGGAAGTATATCTTTCCTACGATAACATCCCTCAGATGGTATCTAAACAGGACACAAGAAATTATATTATGTATAAAAAATATCCCATTTTAGGACTATTTTTGCATTGTGACATTTAACAAAATATATATAATTATATATTTTGTTTGCAATTTTATTAAGCACATTTTACAAGCATGTATTTATATATCTATCTATATACACACACACACATCTCTGTACAAAATAATAAGCAAGTAATTATTTGACCAAGTAATAATAAAAATTTAACACAGTGCTGTCAAACGATTAATCGCGATTAATCGTATCCAAAATAAAAGTTTTTGTTTACATAATATATGTGCGTACTGAAAATAAAAGTTTAATAAAATAATACACTTTTTTTTAAATTTTATAAAAATTACGATTGTAAAATGTGATTACTTTCATGGCTCATTATAAAATATAATAATTAAAATATATAATTATGAAAAACTATGTATACTAGGGATGGAACGGTTCGCGGAAAAAAATCGAACTGTACGGTTCTCCACACACGGTTCGGCACGCGCTAGGACCGCGGTTCAACTTAAATCTGACAACGCATCTGTAATATGGTTTGCTATAAATAACACGTAAAACAAACAGGGTTCGGCTAATATACGTTTCTGTTGATGAATGAGCATTCTGGCTTCCCAATACATTACAACAACAGCGATGAAAAAAAAAACGTGGACAAACCATTCCCTCTTGTTAAATGCGAATGCCGTATGCTGGAATATGAGCATTTATTCCGTAATCACCCGGGTGCTGATGGCGCGCACGCACAGGTGAGACCTGAACAGCACACGTTTATATCTGTGTTTAAACTAAACTCGTTTAAGCTTTGCCAGTTTAAACATTTAAGAGTCAGAGGATGCGAGCTCATGTGCGCAGTGAGAAGATTTGTGCGTGCGCTCATCCGAAGCGTGCAAACCCGCACCTCAGAACGCGCGCAAATATTAAGCTTTCTCTGAAGTATTGTGTTTAAATGGACAAATTCACACAAAAATTATGTCAAAATGCCTGTCTTGGTAAGTATCCTATAGCAGACATAGCCGGCTGAACGTACTGTATCAAAGAGTAAGAGAACCGTGAGTAAAAGTTGAACCGTTCCACCCCTAATGTATACACCAGGGCTGTACGTTAACTTTTTTTTCACATAGCACTGGTGCTACAGAGGTTGAAAGTTTTGTAGCACAAGCCAAAAAGTTGTAGCACAAGTATAAAACGTCTGTTATCATGTCTGAAAACAAACACAAGTAATGGAGTTCATCACTTAAACAGGCACTGATGTTCCATACAGAGCACAAAAAATACAAAAAATTGTTTTTAGACAAAGTTTTCTTAATTTGCCAAAAATGGAAGAGTGCAGAAACATAACACCTCTTACACCTTAACAAAATATAAAATAAAAAACAATGGCAGACATTTAGGCAAAGTGAGCAAAGATAAAAATCTTTGTCATTATTTTATCTTTGTTATTACAAAATAAGAACAAAGATATACATTACAAATACACATAATATACAAATAAAACAAACAGGGCTTTATTTTTCAGGTACAGTATTTAGCAGTAAAATTCAAGAAATTTAATGTACAAATATTAAAATAAAACACTATATACACTATATACAGGGTGCGAACTACGGGGGAGCTAGGGGGAGCTCGGCTCCCCTTAATAAGACATGGGCTCCCCTGAAAACGTGATTTGTGAAATTTTGGGGGGTCTCAAAAAAATATTGACAATGTGTTATTTTGACGTGCAATTTCAGTTTTGTGTAATGTGATCATCGTGGATTATTATGTGTAAAATTGCAAAAAATACATTCATCCATGCATGACGGCGATTTAAACCTAATTAACTTCAATAAAGATAACTATACATGCTATTCTTGTCATGAGCATCAAGGTGTGGGGGCGCTGCGGTGCAAATTCCACTATGTTTAGTACATGTTAACTCAAAGATCCGTAGAAAAAATATAAACGCTGGACTCTGTGGTCGATTCTGTGTTAAGGGATACAATTATATTTCTTCAAAAGCAGATCGTGGAGACATTCAAAAATGGTCATATCGCACACCTCTAACTACCAAGTATAATCAATCTCACACACACAAACAAGCACAACGAAATCACTTCACACTATTAAGCGGCTGTGTTATGAACATGCAAAACTGTATCGCAGGCGTGCTACAGTGGTAAATTTATTCATCGCACAGACCAGTTTTTTCGTAGCACGTGCGACATATATGTCGCACTGTACAGCCCTGTACACTATAATATACTTTTATTTTTTGCGTTAATTGTGTCAAACATTTTGGTGAATCTCACTGTTTTAACTCATATTTATGTATCAGCATGCACACTCACTTGGATTTGTTGTATTCAAACTCAATATGGAGACAATCTTCAATTCCAACTTCCATCTTGATGGAGGAGTTGAGCTCTGGATATGAGCACAGCGTCTGCACTACAATATCCATCTCTTTACTGATATCATTCAGCCTTCTGCTGATTGTCGCTCGCAGAAAGTATCTAAACGGATCAGAATGGAGAAATTCAAGTACTTCCCAACAGGACATTTCACACACTATACATGCATGATTCATACTGACTTAATGCTGCCATATTCTTGTGTATGACAGTATATCCCATAATGTTCTGTGTTTACAGTCTGCGACTAACCCCATGACCACAGCAGTTCTAAATGTTTTTTTAGATTTACCTTAGTTTGACATTCTGGCCAGTGTAGGATTCATAGGGCTTTTCCACATGGGTGAACTCAAAGTCAAAGGTCTGGGACTGTGAAAGCTCTCCAGGTCGAGCAAGATCCTTCACTAACGACACAAACTCATGGTGGTTCCCTCTGTCATAGTAAAGATCTGTGAACCACAAGACATGTTTTTATACATAAACACCGTTTCTAAACGTCCATTCCCAGACGGATAAACTCACCAATCTGTCCGACAAACTCGATTTTGATGCCATAGTGCTCCAGCCTCTTTCCAGGAGTCTTGAGAGTCACGTTAACTTTCCCACTTACGGTTTCACCGTCGTAGAAAAGGAAATATTTGTCCTTTTTCCCATCCTCAGTTTTGTGCTCCGCTTTCTTCCTGGTTTCCCAGTCATTCAACACGATGTCGATCTCAGCGGTCTGTCCGAAGCCGAAGAAGCTCATGTCTGATGGAGATGTGTCAGTGTCACTGCTGTTCGAGCATAGATCACCCGATTGACAGCTGCTTCTGCTGCGCTCAGCTACAGGTGGCCGTGCGATTCTCTGGCGCTCTGGTACCTTTTACCAAGTGGCCTTCAAAAACAAGCTCATACGCTATTTGATTGTTTAATATCCGCGATTAAATGGAAATATCAATATATTACGTTCGAAATCTGATGCATATTTCTGTCTGATTTAATTAAAGTAGCTCAATTTACAGCAGGACAGCAGTCAGGAAGGATATTTGCCCATAAAATAACTCCCGCACTTCCTGGATCTTCCTGCAGGTATACTTTCAAAATAAAAGTCCCAGATTGGGACACAATAACGATGTGCTTATTTAATAGAAGTATTTCTTTATTATTAAATGACAATGATAAAAGAAAACCAATTACATGACCACATTAATTGTTTACATACATGGTCACTTCCTTTGACTGTAGGTTACCTGAGAATATTATAATCTAAGCATTATATAATGGATTAATTATTGATATTACAATAGTGTAGTGGCATTAAGAATCAAACATCTTGGTGGTTATGCTATTCAGATGGCATTTCATCTCTAATAATGTGTTTTGATTTCACATCACACAAACCACACATTACAGATAATACAAAAATAACGGGACAACAGTTTAACACGTGACAATTTTTCTTATAATAACATACACTGCAAAAAAATCGTAATCAATATTTTTAATCTTAATCAAAATTCTTTCGCTTGTTTTACAGTAAAACAGGCTATCTAAACAGGTACATGTAAGACTTCAATTGTTTATTTTTCTTTCACTATTATGCAAAGAAATATTTTACGCATAAACTTCACTAAATTTAAACCATAACAAAATTTTTGTCAAGAAAAAAATACAAATATTGATTAAGAAAATTATTATTATTTTGCAGTGTAACATTAAATATTAAGGATATACACTCAATATTTAACCATAGTTGGAATGTCAGGTATTTCATTTTTATAGTATTTCTTATAGTATAAAGTCAAATACAGAATTGTTTGGAAAAACTGTGGCTGAGCTTCCCCAGCATTATTGAAAATAAAAGTTCCAGAAGGAAGTTTTCGTCGTGATGCCATTGAGAAACTATTTTGGGTTCCCCAAAGAACCTTTCAGTAATCATTTCTCAAAATAACTATTTTCTTCTCAGTGTAAAAAAAAAAAAAAAAAAAATCTAAAGATGCCAATAAAGAACCTTTATCCTCCTTTATTTTTAAGAGTGTGAGTTCATTATTGACTGCTTAACTACACTTATTAGATTCTGTCTGCCCATTGCCTGGCACTCAATAGTATGAAAAGGTAAAAACTGTATAACACTGAGCCTTAAATAAAAAGGTACAATAAAATGTTTTGCCAACAAACACTTTGAATAATTCGATTAGAGATACTGTCTTTATATTTGTTTACATATTGGAATATACTGGCCCCTGTCTGTTCTGTCAATTTGCTTAGGCATATCCATTAGATTTGCCCAATTCATGAAATTCGACTATTTTATTAAGTTCAGCTGTATGACATATATAGTACAATGATGGAACCCAGGCTCTCTTGTTCATTTGTTTTTCTGTCGTACTGTTTTTAGACAGTGGGACATACCATGAGGCATGACTAATATATTGTCAAATTATTAAAAAAGAAGCTAAAAGAAACCTATGAGTTTATTTCTTGTTCTTGTTTTCAAATTTCAAGATAATAACTCAGTTCCACTGCATTTATTTAAAAACAAAGTAAATTCGATGGTCCGATTGCATATATAGCTACATGCTTTAAAAACAAAATGAAAGGATAGACAATGTTGATTGCTTCCACATAATCAGTTTTATTCTTGTGACACGGCCCACGGTCTATCTAAGTACTACTCTGGAGTGAACTGCAATATACGTAGATCTTATAAATAGATTAAAACAATAACACCGAGTCATAAAACCTGGACAATATGTCCAAAACGTATAAAACGATTATAAAGCATTGAAGGTCACTTAAACACAGAAATGGCACTCTGAAAAAACCACAAGTGCGTAATCTGTATCTAGAGGAATAGTTCAAAAAAGTAAATGAATCATCTTGCACAACCAAGTCGACTGACTTTACGGAGATGTTTGATTAAATCTCAAACTAAAATGCTACCAATGTATAGTTCATGAACTAAATAACCACTGCTGAAAGAAACACTAACACATAAAATCCTCTTGTCAAAAGTGACCCAGATAAAACAGTCTTGGCATGGTATTGTACACATTTACACTGACAGGATTCTTTACATAGTCACACACACTATATTTCCAGTGGGAAATGTAATATTTGCCTTGAAGACATGTAAGTTCTTGCACTGGTATTATGTGTTGACTACTTTTGGGCAAAAATACAGCAGCACCTGGATGCAATTTCGGCCTTGCTACAATTTGAAGTCTGCAACCGACATTCAGAAAGTCACAATTATTTGGAAAGTCTTACCAAACTCATCTTTTATGTTACTTATTAAGTTCAATCCTTTTTGATTTGCTGAAACAATGATTTTTTTACTTTACAAGATGCATGTAATAGCTATAAATCTTAGTATTGTTCAATTGAATGTCATTTTTACATAGAAACAGTGGAGTTTTAAGTAAACCTGTGTTTGATTCCTGTCTGTTTAAATCAAAATAAGGGGAGTAAAAATTCCCTGTTCGACACAGTAGCTTTCGTTTTTGTAATAACTTTGGCAAGCCATGAAGCTCAAGTTGCACCTCAGCGTAAAAAGCACAATTTGACAGTTCAAAAGTCAGCTCACAAGGCATTCACACGATTGAAGCGCTCGTCTCCTCTTCTTTGATTTTATATGACAAAGGAGGACTTGTGGCGGAAATGTCCCTGAGGAAAAACAGAGATAGGAAAAACTGTGAGCAATCAAATGATATGTAGTTAAAATGTGGCACTACAGAAGCAAAACATAAATCCAGCCGAATATTTTTCCCATGTAGAGATTTTACTGAGAGATTATTTTGAGGATTGCACTAATGCCACTTTGAGCTTTGCTAGCATTAATAAAAAGAAAATATCTGCAGTCAGAGAAAGGCTGCAGTGTAACCTGAGCAGATAAACACTAGCAAATCTTGGATGATACTTCATCCATCCTTGTAAGAACATTTCAAGGTGTTGACTATAGCCTCTAAACGTGCACTAATACATGAAAATGATATCTGTGATGCTTTATCATGTCACAAATCCACAAAGCCTTACCTCATCTGGACTGGCATAGTCCATCCTATTGTCATGTTGGGGTACTTTGTAACTGTATGAAACAGAGCATTGTAATCTTACCAAAAGTGCATTAAATTCCAGATCAAATCAGATCAGCCCTTATGGTTATGCTGTAAGATTCATTTTGTGGTTATAGTTTTTACTCACTTGGTTTCCCTATGATCCTTGCAGGAACAGTAGCCACTTTTCTGAATCTGACAGATCCCCACAATGACAAATATAAATGCTGCCACTCCGCCTAACACCTTCAGGAATATGCCCACAATGTCCAGATCATCTAGAAAGAAATTATGTACAAATGAATAAATAGCTCAGCAAAAAATATATTAAAAATTCCATTATTTACTCACTCTTTGTGTTTATTTATATACTACCAGTGTGTGAATTATTACAATTTAGATTTTTTTTTATTTGTCATTTCTGTGATGTCAAAGCTGACATTTTCAGCATCATTACTCCAGTCTTCAGTGTCACCTGATCCTTCAGAAATCATTCTAATATTCTTGATTTAGTTCTAAAGAAACATTTGTTGTTATTAACAAAGAGTCCTGAAAAAAAAAATCTATCAAAGTTTTCACAAAAATATTTGTGTTTGCGTTCCACTGAAAAATAACTGCATTTGGAACATCATGAAGGTGAATAAATAATTTCAATATTAAAAGCTGAATCATTATTTCAAAGTGCAGCTACTGACCAGCATATTTAAGGGCCACACTTACAAACTTCCATTGTCTGAGGACTGCATTTTGACCATCCTGCCTCATTCCTGGCCTGGCAATAGTATTCACCTGCATCCTCTTTCTTCACCGACCGGAATTTCTGTGGATCAAATGTAAATCATACACTTAGCAAAAGCCCAGGTAATGTTTAAACTGGTAAAATACAACATAATTGAAATACATTTCAAAAACCCAATTTATTGGCCAAAAAAAAAAAAACTATACAAAAAAAAAGACAAAGTTAATATAAACCTCTAATTTTTATTTTAAAAAATTAATTTAAATGTATTTATTACTTATTTCTTATTCTTATTATTTCATTTAAAGCCTAAGCCTTTGCAATTTTTTCAGTATTAAAATACTTTCTCTGTTCCAGTTTGATGCTTTAATTAAATGTAAAATGTAAATGTAAAATAATCATTTACAGGCTGATTATTTCATTTATTTATTTTATATTATTATTATTAGTGTAGTGATTATATTATTAGTGTAAACACAGCGAAACTAATCATTATTTCTGCAATTCCTTGCAAAACAATGGTGTCGCAGAATGTAATCCAAGCCTGATATTCTTCAAGAAACGACTAAAAACACATCTGTTCCATATTTATTTGACCCTCTAACTCTAGCACTTTCTATTCTATTTTAATTCTACTTTATCTAATATCTTCTTTTTTATATATAAAAAAAAAAAACTAACACTAGCTTTCTATTTTTTCTATTCTATCAATCATAGATTTTTTTTTCTGCTATTGGAGCTATTAGTATATTATATTTATATTATATCCGTTCACTACTTTACCCAACTATGACAACTTATGCTTCTAAAAACTCTGGAAATTTCACCGTAAGGTCTAGTAATGACATTTTGATTAAATGTTACGAGGTAACATAATTAATGTAACATAAGCATGGATGAATTGCTCACAATAAGATCTATGCATTTAGAAAATAAACAGGGTGAATTTTCATTTCATACCGACTTTAAGTAAGGTTTAAGAGAACTGCAAACAGAATTTGCATTACATCTAATGCTGCATGGCATTAAATTCCCTCTCAGCTTCATGTCCCAAACAGTAAGATCGCAATTATAATCGGAGACATTTTTGTGCGTCCAGAGGAATCACGTTGATCTGCTCAACGTATTCATCCTGCACTCAAGCCCACTGAAACCTTTTTGTCCAGACAGTCCAATCAGTTCTGTTCTCATGGGGCATTTCAATGCAACATCACTGAGAGTTATATCCATGGATTAAAACTCAGAGAATGTTCCCCTTGCTGAATCTGGCAAAAACTATTCCAACAGTACCTCTTACAGCGAGACTGACTAGTATTTCATCAAAGGGCTTCTGGTCGTCGATGGCCGCCACCTCACAGCGATACTGAGCTGTGTCCGATCTGCTGGTGTTCAGGATCAGAAGGTTTGCAGGCTCTCTCAGCAAAGCCCTGTGCTCCAAGTCACCTGAGAACATAACGCAGCTTCAGCTGAATTTAGCTTATACACCGTCATCAATTCAATCAATGAGAGAAAGAACATGTTACCTGAAATTTTATTTTGGAAATACACATAGCTGGGTACACCATTTTTTATTTTCTTCCATTCAATTCTGGGATTGTTTGTAGAAATGGACTCTATCAAGCAGGTCAACTCAATTGCTTTAAAGAAATAAGACATAGGCGGTCAATTTATGCGTGCGTTAATGAAGTAATCTTATTAAACAGCTTCATGTAAGACTTACACTCAAATTCATTTGTCCATACTGATTTTTCAGTTGTTCGGAGTATTACAGCAAAAGCTGTACTCTTGCCTGCAACAGATAACAAAGAACAGATTACAAATCTGTCAAGAACAGTCCAAAAATGAGAATTTATATTTTTCATGAATGTAAATGAAGCTATTTTTATATCATTATTTACATCATAATATATTTCAATTGTATGGCAGCTAATCACTTAAAATATATTTAACTATATCAATTGTATAGCATTCTGATTAATTAATCAAAGCACACAGCATAAACAAATAGCACATATAATTTTTTTTTTAAAGTAAATAAATAATTTAATAGACATTACTGCTTTAACATACTCTTTCTGTGCTGCCTCTTCACTCATTTATTATAATTTATTAAATTAACATAAATATAAATATATAAAAAAAAAAATATAGCCCTATTAAACTGTTTCCATTGTAATATCTGTTGTACTGGCTTTAATTTAGTATGATTTTAATAACATTGTGTGCGGGCAGGATCATTTTTCATTACTGTACTACATTAATGAGAATATAATGAGTATCACTGTTGAAAATTAATATCAGATATGACCCAGTTCTGGACATGTTTTACATGAAATGCTCTCTACAGTGTAATTATAATAATGATCTTATTTCAAACATCCTTCTTTGATTATTTTCTTATGTTCTAACGTCAAAGACGAAAAAATCTTATGCATTTCAGTAATGGGTGACTCAGTTTCTCAGTTTTATCTTTTCGACTTTTTATAATGTTTATGGGAAGCATAATGGAAGAATAAACGTTGTAAGTATCTTGGGGAAACTGTAACCAGACCTGAACACATTTCTGTTGAAAATTCATGGACAGATTTAGAAGAGCTTGTGTGTTTTTTCAGTTTCGGTCTGTCCGCACCAACTCAAAAAGGCCAGACAGTGTGACATAATGAAAAGGCAAATATGAAACAAATTATTGGCAAAGCCTGACAGTCCCAATAGGCTTCGCTCATATGAGAAAATAATTTGGGGTTTAGGGCATTTGCTATTTCCAGATGCATTTTCCACTTTCACATAATCTCATGAAATCCACAGAGTGTATTTACAGTGATCCATATGTGATAATCTGTGGCTTTAGCATCAGATTAAAATCTTACCATATGGACTTCTGCAAAGCATGAGACAGACTTCAGTTATCATAAACCAAACATCTGTGGCGTTTTATCATCACCTAGACTGACAAGCTCGAGGAATAGCTACACATGGGACAGTTTTGTACTGATGAAGTGAATTCTGCTGCATTTAACCACTGTAGAGAGGCACATTATGGGAGACTAGAGCAGAGTCATATTGCCACAGCTGGAGAACGTCAAGGTTTCTGGTGACGGTTCTAAGGCTGACTTTCCCATCGCATGCATCATGGTCTATTTTTACATCTGCTGTTGACATTTCCCGATTAGACAAGCTACATTATCCACC